AAAATTATAAAATAATATATTGAATTAACTAACATAACATTAAGTCAAATTTATGCAAAATCGATTCGAGTTAATCAATTTTAAAGGCTAAATCGATATGAGTTTAGATTAAGTTGAGTAAGTTTGGAGATAACTTGAATCAATTAAGATTAACTCTAATGAGTTGAATTGACTTAGACCAAAATCAAGCCAAGTTAGTCCACCAAACACAGGTCAAGTTGAGTTCGTCTTGGTCGAGTCAAGTCAGTTTATGTTTAGGTTGAACTAAATCAAACATCACGCATTCAATTGAGTAGAGGAGTCCACACTCATTCAAGTTGAGGTCAATTCACATTCAATTGAGTTGTTAGGCTCAAGTGAGTCATAGTTCAATTAACATCATATCAAGCATAACCCGACTAAGACTTGGTCAAACCAAGTCAGCCTTGACCTAAACCTAGCTAAATCAATCTAAGCTCAAGTTAAGCTGAATTGACCCAGGTCCAATTCAAGTTGAGTTAGGATGTAATCTTGTTTAGATGATTTGGACTAAGTTCATGTCGAGTTACGTTAGGTCCAACTTGGGTCAAGTGTTAATTAACTTGGATCCAGGTGGGATTTAGATAAATCAAATCAGGTTTAACTAAATTTACTTAGAACGAGATATTGGATCGAGATCATGTCAAACTAAAGTTAGACAGATCTCACATTATATCAAGTTGAATGTACTAAGTTCAAGTCGAGTTAAATCAACTCGTATTTAGGTTAACTCAAACTAGAAAGACTGAAATATGAATGTAAAGATGTGGAGAATTTCAAATTNTGTACAAAATAGTCCAGGATGTATAGCTGGAACATAAATGCAGAAATTCACATGTCAAGCACACAATATAATACATTTTAATTTTAAAACAGACATTCAAGTTTTTGAGATTACTGCACAGAATAGCTGGTAGAGAATCATTGACTGGCTCAAAGTACCATCTTGAATGCTCTTCATAAGAATAGATAAATTGATAAGTAGCCACCCCATCATTCCAGCTCTAACAAAGAAAAATCTGCAATTTGATAATCCATTAAATCCATCACAAAATGCCAGATTGATTTCAGTCATCATTCACACCTCGTTAAATATGCTGATAATGTAATCTTGTTTGCAAAAATCATTTGACATGCATGAGAAATCTATGAACTGTTAGAAAAATTACATCTATGTATCATTATTAAGACCAAGTAGGGTGTAGTGTACCAGTCAATTTATTAGCTCTACGTATAGTTGTACCTGATTATGTACCTAATGCAGTCCCTTAATCTTTCATGTACTTTTGTATCAGGTTTTTTGATACGTACCCAGGTGTTAGGGAAATCAATGAACCCTTGATCCAAGGAGGAGGAAATAATAAAAATTGGTGGGGCAGAGTTTATAAGAGGAGAGAAAAGGGTGACGTGACTTTGTGAGTGAAATGTGTTAGTTAGAAGAGAGAGAAAAAGAGTATGGGTTGTTATATATTATGAGGTGTAGGATGTGAGGGGGGACACGTTTTGTTTTCGGTGGAGTGGGAGGAGAAGAATTATTACGATTCTTCTCAAGAGCTTGGCTCTGGGCAGAGGGTCCTGGAACCTTCTGAGTTTTCTGATTTATCATAATAGTGAATTTTCACCAATCCACTTTTCACACTTCATATTTTCGTTTATTCCGTTTATTCGTAAACTCTGATTTTTAACATTTTTATTATAAATAGAAGATTACGAGAGAGATCTCTCAAGCCCTCCAAAATATATTTCTCTGTTTTTAATCTTAAGTTGTACAAATAAAGTGAAAAAAAAAATCTAAAAAATATGCAACCTAAGAAAATAAAGACAGTGATACTATCATAAATTTAGCCAAATGATGAAATATAGAGCAAACATTGAAAGATAAAAAAATTAAAATCTGGCCATGAGAGTAGGGTGCAGGAGGGCGCAAGTAACATAAAGAATTATTATTCATGTCTTAAGATCGATTTGAAAACTATTTGTCATTCTATACTAGTAATCAATTTTGTAAGTTAAAATTACAACACAGTACAAACATCTCTTATCCATGATTGCTCTATTATATGATTACTAGTATAGTGCCCAGTATAACAATTCCAATTTTTATTCTTTATAACTGTTAGGTTCCTGGGTTTGGAACCTAACAAGAAAACACTCAAAAGATAGAAACAGAAATGAAAGAATGAGTTTTGCTATTATTCACCGTAAACGAATCTCTTTACAAGGACTGGGTTTGGGAGCATAACCTCCCTCTAGAGAGCCTAACCTCCCTCCTCAGGATGACAAACCCTGTTAGACTACAATCAAACAATCGACCCCCCACTACAATTGATTATTTGCTATTTATACAACCAATAACCCCGCTCTTCCTAACTGCTAAGGCAGTTAAGGCAGTTGGGCATTTAATGTTTTATTCCTTCACTCGTAAACTCTCCATCCCTAACATTACACCCCGCTGCCGAACAACCTTGTCCTCAAGGTTGGAAACGGGAGGCTTGATCTCATGGCTCCTCTTCATCATCGTGTACTCATATGAATGGAACCCTCTGGCAACTGCCCTCCAACTCAGGTCTGGAGGTTTGGGTGGTGGCAATTCCTCCTCCAATGACTTCCATTCTTCTTGGATTTTATTAGCTTCCAACATTCTGGTCACCTCTTTTCCAGAATTATAATCCCTGAAGAAATGGTCTTCGATGTCTTTCAAAGCTTCAAAAAGTTCTCTCCCCTCTGCAGGTGCCTCACGAACGGCAAGACCCTTCTTTTGTTCGCTGGTCCACCTCTTCACAAAATCCATCCTTCTCTCCCGACCATTGATTCTTCCATCCACCTTTCCCTCCTTAGCCTTCATTCTAATTGTAAGCCTGTTCGGCCAATTACTGAGAGATTGTTTGAACTGTAAGACCGTTCGACCTTTGAATGTAACTGTAAGACCGTTCGGCCAATGACTAGGAGATCGTTTTGAGTGTAAAACCGTTCGGCCTTTGACTGTAAATGTAAGATCGTTCGGTTCCTCCTGTCCTTTCACGTTCGGATTCGGCAGTTCTTTCCTGTTCGTTTCCGGACCGTTCGGTTCCTTCAGTCCTCTCGAGTTCGCAGCTTGTAGTGCTAGCCCGTTCGGCTTCGTCAAGCCTCTCCCGTTGGGTCCAGCAGTCTTCTCTTGTTCGGATCCGACCGACCGCTCGGCCACTCTCGATTGACCTGGGCTATAGCGCTTGGCCTCCGACCGTTCGGTAACTCTCGATCGGCCTGGGTTATAGCGATCAGCCTCGGACCGTGTCACCTCACCGTTCGTTCGTCCCCAAGACGACTTGTCTTCTATGGCCTCGGACCGCTCGGCCACTCCCGATCGGCATGGGTTGTGGCACTTGTCCTCAGACCGCTCGGCAACTTTCGATCTGCTTGGTTTATAGCAATTGGCCTCGAACCGTGTCACCTCACCGCACGTTCGTCCCCCAGACAATTGGTCTTCTATGGCCTTAGACTGCTCGGCCACTCCCGATCGGTATGGGCTATACCACTTGTCCTCAGACCGTTCGGCAACTCTCTAGAACTCCTCAACATCCCTTGCGATCCGCATTGCCACCATCCATTCCTGCGGTTCATGCTGTTGGACTTGAATCCGGATGTCCTCTTTCAATCCCACAAGAAAATATCCCAACAGCTGCTCGTCTGGTACCCTCTTCGTTCGACCCACCAATATCTTGAAGTATTGTACATACTCGTCCACCGTCCCTGTCTGTCTCAATGTTGTCAACCGCTCAACAATGGTTCCAAACCTTATCACCAAGGCTTCCTTCAAACCATCCCATGAACGATTCTTGGCTTTCTCCTTCCAAGCTTTGAACCAGTAGCCAACGCTCCCCTCCATGCTCACATACGCTAATCGTACCTTCTCCTCTTCCGCTACTCCTTGAAATTCGAAGAATCGCTCCGCCCAATTGATCCAGTTCAATGTATCTAATCCTTCGAACACGGGCAGCTCCACCCTCTTTCTCCAATTGAACCGCTCACCTTCTCCACCCCCAATGTCGTCCTTGCGTCTCGTACTCCTATTGGCGTTCACAGGCGCCTGACTGTCGTCAGACAGTTCCCCTTGAATGCGGTGCCGTCCCCCCGATAATCGCCTCACTTCTTGAAGATCCTGGCGTGTGGCTGCCGAGTCTTGTCGAACTGCCGCCGTTTTCACCTTCATTTCCTCCCTTGACGACTCCATCTCCGCCTTTCGTCCATCCATTGACGGCTCAATTGCCGCCATTCATTCCTCCATTCTTCCTTCTAGTGCGTTTAATTTTCCCCCCTTTGTCTTCGCTCTCGTTCCTCCCCCGAGTACTCCCTTCTCCTTCTCTGATTCTCGTTAACAGTATGTTGATCTTCATCTACAAACCCTGGACTGCCTTCTAATCCCTTTTCCTGGTTCCACACCCTTCCTCCAAGAACTCGCAAGTGTTCTCTGGTTTCCTGCCGCATTTCTTGCATATTTCTTCTCCATTCTGCTAGCTCCCTTTTCTGTTCGCTGATCCTCCTTTCCCAAGAATTGTCTCTTCCTTCCATGCTTCCCCCTTTCTTGACCACTTCTTGATCCGTTCTTGACCCCTCTCCTAAGGATATCCGGCAGGTCGGACCAATTGTTAGGTTCCTAGGTTTGGAACCTAACAAGAAAACACTCAAAAGATAGAAACAGAAATGAAAGAATGAGTTTTGCTATTATTCACCGTAAACGAATCTCTTTACAAGGACTGGGTTTGGGAGCATAACCTCCCTCTAGAGCGCCTAACCTCCCTCCTCAAGATGACAAACCCTGTTAGACTACAATCAAACAATCGACCCCCCACTACAATTGATTATTTGCTATTTATACAACCAATAACCCCGCTCTTCCTAACTGCTAAGGCAGTTGGGCATTTAATGTTTTATTCCTTCACTCGTAAACTCTCCATCCCTAAGGTAAAATTTCATCTAAAAAAACAGTACCAAGAACATTTATGGAAGTGCACGTGCATCTAAGTTTTTTCCTTTAAAATTACCTGCCATCTCAAAATATAGAAGCCTTCAGGAAGGAATTTGTGAAACGCAGAGGGGCCGGGCGGAACATATGGAACTCCCAACGTGACAACGCCCAGGACCATTTCAGGGTGTAGAATGGAAAATAGATATGCAGGACGACATCCAAAATCTTTCCCGACAAGAAACACCTAAAGTAAATTAAGGGTGTTAAAGAATTAGGCAACAGTTGAGCATACAATCATTTTAGTCATTTTACATGGTGGCATCCCTTCGTGCCTATAATATTACCTCATCAACCCGCTCGATCTCAAGTAATAAAAGGTAGTTGGGTTGAATTCACAGTATGAGTTAAATTATAACTTTAACAATCTCATACCTGATTAATTATATTCTAAAATGAAGGAGAAAAAAATCACCGAAATCCTCACTCAACACCAAAATATTTTCGTTGGTTTGGTCTTGGAATTCTCGTGAATCAGATGCAAAATAAGTCCTAGTAAGTCTAGGCCACCTATTTATGAATTTGTAAGGCAAGATAACAAACGATCATTAGAGTACGAGAAGTATTACCAACACATTCTTTAATAAACACTTTAATAGTTAAAAATTATAAAAAGTGTATTAAACAAGATATAGACTCACAATTTCTTAATTTCTGAAAAATCTCAGATACCTAAAGGAAGTGTGTCACCGGATAATGAATTCCTAGCATTTTTCTTAAGTGCATGGTGAGCAAGAAGTTGAAATTTGAAACAAATGTAAAATCTAAAAGCCCACAGGTAAAAAATAAATTAAACAAAATCAACGAAACAATCAACAGAGTAAAGACATTTTAGAGAGAGAGTACCTTGGGAAGATGAAGAGCTTGAAGGATATGAAGGAGGTCGTTGAGAATATCGGACCAGGTGGCCTTATCGGGTTGAGGTGGAGGATCGGAGAGACCGTAGCCTCTGTAATCGAAGGCGATGGCTCTGAATCCAGCATCGGCAAGGGCTATCATCTGGTGCCGCCACGAGTACCATATCTCAGGGAAACCGTGCAAGAATACGACGGCGTTTTCACCTGAAAACACCAACACAGACCAAATCAACGACGGAAGAAAAACGCATAAGTTGAAAACGACGGCGTTGGATTGATTCTTACCACTTCCGATTTCTGCGACGTGGAGATTGAGAGCATCACCAACTTTCACGAACTTGTGCTGGATTCGATCCATCACTCTTCTGAAGAGTGATGAAAGTGAACACTGTTTTAGTTACTAAAAGATAACAATATTCAGATTAAAAAAAAAAAACACCAACTTGTGCAAATATTTACTTTCTAGACGATCAAATTCAGAAGAAAAAAATGAAGTACCATTCAGATCTTTAAACTTGAGAGAAACACGGAATGGAAATAAAAAAGAAAAAATTTTACCTAAATCAACTTGAGTCAAAAGGGTTAATATCATTTATAAGCTCTTTTTTAACTTCTTTCCACTGAATTTGATTTTCTCCCACACATCTTCTAACTAAAGACTTTGTATAAATAATAGAGTAGTTTGCCTTTTGCATTTTGGTAGAAAAACTTATGATTTTTAAAATATTTAAATATACTTAATTTTATTTTAAATTATTTTTTAAAATTTTATTTAGATAAGATAATTAACATTTAATGAATTTAAATTTTTTTAGATAAATAATTTCAATTATAATTAAACTCAAATACAGTTATTTCAATACCAAATCGTTGTTAAAAATTAAAAAGTATTAATATTAATCATTTTAGTGGTCAATGATATTATTCGTTCATTTTTAATATTGTTTTGATTTTATAATTGTAAAAAATTTCTCATTTATGTTGAATGAAATTATTTTAAAATTATAAAATAATATATTGAATTAACTAACATAACATTAAGTCAAATTTATGCAAAATCGATTCGAGTTAATCAATTTTAAAGGCTAAATCGATATGAGTTTAGATTAAGTTGAGTAAGTTTGGAGATAACTTGAATCAATTAAGATTAACTCTAATGAGTTGAATTGACTTAGACCAAAATCAAGCCAAGTTAGTCCACCAAACACAGGTCAAGTTGAGTTCGTCTTGGTCGAGTCAAGTCAGTTTATGTTTAGGTTGAACTAAATCAAACATCACGCATTCAATTGAGTAGAGGAGTCCACACTCATTCAAGTTGAGGTCAATTCACATTCAATTGAGTTGTTAGGCTCAAGTGAGTCATAGTTCAATTAACATCATATCAAGCATAACCCGACTAAGACTTGGTCAAACCAAGTCAGCCTTGACCTAAACCTAGCTAAATCAATCTAAGCTCAAGTTAAGCTGAATTGACCCAGGTCCAATTCAAGTTGAGTTAGGATGTAATCTTGTTTAGATGATTTGGACTAAGTTCATGTCGAGTTACGTTAGGTCCAACTTGGGTCAAGTGTTAATTAACTTGGATCCAGGTGGGATTTAGATAAATCAAATCAGGTTTAACTAAATTTACTTAGAACGAGATATTGGATCGAGATCATGTCAAACTAAAGTTAGACAGATCTCACATTATATCAAGTTGAATGTACTAAGTTCAAGTCGAGTTAAATCAACTCGTATTTAGGTTAACTCAAACTAGAAAGACTGAAATATGAATGTAAAGATGTGGAGAATTTCAAATTTTTATTTTTAAATCAAGTTTGATTTATTTTTTTAATTTTAAGCAATCTAATTGCTCATGTATTTTATATGATAGGAATCATCCCAACATATAAGTAGGGTCATGATGCATACCATGATAAGTTAACCGGTCACGGTTTGCATTTAAGGTTAATAATATATCAATATATCAATATAACGTTACGATACAAAATATTTTGCAATATCCCCATCATGATACTTTCCTAAAAAAGTCAAATTCATTTAGGTAACCGTCCATGTGAAAAGGTATAGGTATATAAAAAGAATATAAAATTTAGAATAGCCCTCTTATTTGAGCATGAATGTCTTTGCAAGTTCCCATATCAAGTTAGACCTAGGAGCACAAAGGAAACATCTCAGACAAAAGATAGGAACATCTCAGTTACATACAAAAACAGTTATAATAAAATTTTAGAATTTTAATTTCTTTCAAAATTTCTTATCTAAACAATATTTTTGCATAAAACATTTCAATTTTTTTTTTTTAAAAAGGAGTTTTCCTCTTAAAATATCTTATCAAAAAATACTCTTAATGAATTTAGAATAAATTTGGTATCCTAGAATACGAGTTTAAGTTTAGCTAACCTAAAAAAAATACGTGAGTGAAATTTTGTTACGTTCTTTCTTATGCTGTGTGGGATTTTGTTTTTCAATACACTGTCTCATAATCTACACTTATATGTTTAGTCCATAATAATATTGAGTGACTGCTTTTAATGAATTCTGAACTGACACTCTTATCAAATTGAAAAATAAATTCAGATCTAATTGAACCTCACTTTTATAAGATGATAATTAAAATTTTTATCTATAAGTGACATATAGAACTTGATCTTTTTCCAATACATAAAACTCTAATGTCAACCATTTTTTTGTAGATTATATCTATAACCTACCAGAACTGAACAAAACATAATATACATCAAAGTTTCATTACTTATGTAATCGCATTAAACTTCAAACGAAGATGAGAGCAACCTGCAACCACACAGATCCATTCACAGCATGAAAGTGTCATGTGTTTCACTTGATTCCTTACATACTAATTTCTCTCATATGCAGTTGCTACAGCCAGAAGAGGAAATTTTCTATGAACAGAAAGGCCAGGTGTTTCAGACATGTCCAAGTCCTCCCCACTCGCCCCACCAGGCAATGACCAATCAAATTGGTGGACAAGGTTTGCCATTACTATCTCAACAATCTTTATGGCAAATGATATTCCAGGGCATCCCCTTCTTCCTGCTCCAAATGGAATAAGCTCAAAATCATGTCCTTTCAAGTCTATGGAACTGCTTAGGAACCTTTCTGGTTTAAACTCAAGAGGCTGGTCCCAACACGAAGAATCTCTTGCAATGGCCCATGCATTCACCAACACCTGAGTGCCAGCTCCAATCTCATACCCTTTCACTTTGACATCTTCCATGCATCTCCTAGGCACTGTTAAGGGAAGTGGTGGATGAAGCCGAAGGCTCTCTTTGATCACAGCCTTCAAGTACTTCATTTCACCCAAATCATCCTCAGTTACGCGACTCCTGTTACCAACAACACTTCTCACCTCTTCTTGCAGTGTTTGCATCACACTTGAGTGCTTTAACAGTTCTGACATTGTCCACTCCAGGGATGTGTGAGTGGTGTCGGTACCAGCAACAAACATATCCTGAACAAAACAAAACAAAACAAAACAAAAAAAAATTACAAAACAACTTGTAGTCCGCAAGAACCTCCTAGATTTGCAATGTTTCAATAGCAAACCAAGTATATATTATACATCACCTTAATCCAGGCATAATAAACTCTCTAAATGAAAATATCAGTGATCAGAAATTGAAAGAGAAAGAGAATCCAATGGAAAAAGAAAACGATGGTGTTCTTACTGACCAGTATCAAAGCCTTTATTGCAGTTCTATTTATCAGGGAATCGGTGGTGTTGGCGTTATTCTCTTCCATCGAAAGCAAAACATCCACAAAATCATTATGGTCCCGGGAATCAACATCAGCACCCCCATCTCTTCCATTCCTAGTAACATGCTCCTGGATCACTTGGTCTATAAACTGGTCCAAATGCTCGGCAATTCTATTGGCTCTCTGAAACAAACCATGGCTCACCCAATGAAGCCAAGGTACATAGTCCCCTATACACACAGCACCCAACAACTCCCCGAACTCCAACAACAGCTTCTGAAACCCCGCCCCTTCTCTTCCACGGTACCTCCTTCCCAGAGCCACTCTACACGCCACATCATTCGTAACCGCAGCACACATGTCAGTTAAATTCACCTCCAACGAATCACGACAACGTTGCCTGATGTTTTCCATCATTATGGCAGTTTCCTCCTCCCTCACACGGCGAAAGGACTGAACCCTTTTGGTACTCAGAAGGTGCAAAACGCTCAGACTCCTTATTTGCCGCCAGTATTCCCCGTACGTAGAACTTGCCAGATCTTTGGAACCGTACAAGAGGACATCGTTCATCTTACGTTGTGGTCTGTCTGAGAAGAGCAGGTCATGAGTTTTCATCACCTCACGTGCTGCATCAGCAGATGAGACCACAAGCACTGGTACCTTCCCGAAGTGGAGTAGCATGAGAGATCCATAGTTTTGAGCCAAAGTTTGGAGTGTGCGGTGTGGGAACAAACCAAGTTGGTGGAGATTGCCCAGTAGAGGTAACCTTGGAGGTGAAGGGGGTGAGTTTTTGCTGGTTGCTCCATTGGAACACAGTTTGATGATGATGAAAACAACAGAAAGGCAGAGAAGGAAGACCGTGAAGAAATCCATTTCGAAATTGGAATGATTACAAGTTTTGTATGATTGGAACTTGGTTTTGAAGAAAATATTATCTGGTTTTATAGGAAACGTTAAATAGAAAAATTAAATAATCTTCATTTTAATGTTTTTTAGTTGCTCTTGAACATTCTTTTGGATAAGTTTTGTTTTATTTTTATATAATATAAGCACTTAAATTTATTTTTCAAGTTAACGAATAAATGTGTATTTTAGTTTTGTTATTTTGTTTTCATATCAATCAATCTATCAATTCGCTCTTTTTCTCTTCCATTAGTTTTAATTCGTCCATTTAACTCACTGGTGGATGAGATTGAAGGAGGAAGATGCAACGTGATTGAATTGATGACCCAAGTAATGCCCACATTATTTAAATACCAATAAAAGCAAACAATAGAATATTTAGACAAAAATAAAAAAATATTTTGAATATATGATATAACAAAAATTTATAATAAAAACAATTAAAAATATCTAATTTGACCTTGTTTATAGTAGGATATTCAACATATTACATCTCAAATCTGAGATCAAATATTTATTGACAATCAAATAAAAATTATAGCCACTTGTATTTATATTATAATTTAGGCTTAGAGTGGACGTGGAAGTGGGATATCCATCAAATTGACACGTAAAATATGGAGCGATTATATCAAACACTGCAGGTTAGGTTCACTGAAAAGTTCCTATGTTCCGTGGAACTTGTACTTTCTGGTGAGTTTTGTTTGTCGCCAGAAATTGAAAATACCGTACACTGCTTTTAGCAGTTGCTAAGAATGAATATATAAATTATTACATTTATTTATGTGATTAAT